TGAGTGACAAGAAAGAGCTATTCTTACTGTGATTTAAGGGTAGAGGAAACAGCATGGGCAAGAGCTCTACAGCACATTCTAGGAAAAGAAAAAAGGCCAGTGTGGTTGGAATGTAGTAAATGAGGGGAGCAAAATGGTAAGAAAGAAGAGGGGGAGGTAGGCAGAGAGAGACCGTGAGAGAACTTTATGGTTTTGGAAAGGTGTTTGAATTTTGTATTAAATGCAATAGGAAATTGTTGGATGGCATTAAGCAAGAAATAAAAATAATTTATTATTTATTTATTTTTTTTTAAAGATAGAGCAAGTGAGAGAGTGAGCACGAGCAGGGGGAAGGGCAGAGGGAGAGGGAGAAGCAGGGTCCCCTGCTGAGCAGGGAGCCCAGATGCAGGGCTCGATCCCAGGATCATGACCCAAGCTGAAGGCAGACGCTTAACCGACTGAGCCACCCCAGGCACCCCAGCACGATCTAATTTAGTTTTGAAAGATTCCTCATTGCTTTGTGGAAAATCATTAGAAGCGGTCAAGAGTGGGAATGGGGAGACCAGTAAAAAGTCATTTACAGTGGCCTAGCTGTGAGGTAACGGTGGCCAGAGTGGAAGCATTGACAAAGGAGAGAAGTAGATAGATTTGAGGTCTGTTTGGAATTAGACGCAATGGGTTTTGCTGAGTATTGTGTATGAGAGACTATAGGAAAGAGAGAGATCAAAGTTGGTTTCTAGGATTTTGACTTGAGCAACTGGAAAGAAGGTGTTACCATTTATAAAGGTGGACAAGATGCATCAGGCAAGTTTGGGAGTATTGGAAGTTCCAGTTTGAAATGTTGGCTCTGAGCTGCATATTGAGTTGTCAAATAGGCAGTTAAATATGTGAGCTTGGAGCAAGTTGAAGAGGTTTGGGATGAGGGTGAATATTTGTGAGTCTTTAGTGTATAGATAGAATATTTAAAGCCAGGGAGAAGTGGAGGTAATGAGGACTGAGCCCTGCGCTCTCCAGATAAAGGTCTTGACTGTGGAGGAGGAACCAGCAAAGGTGGCCAAAAGAGAGCAGTTAGGTGAGAAAAAGTAGGGTTGGGCGGTAAATTTGATCTAGAATCTGAACAAGAAGACAAAGTAAAGAGTTTTAAGAGGGATGCTTCTGGATGAATGCAGTTGAGTGGGGGAGGGAGTGAGAGATCAGAGACCCAACTCTGTGTATTTGTTTTGTGAGGCTGCTGTAACAAATTACCACAAATTGGATGACTCAAAACAACAGAGATTTATTCTTTTAAAGTTCTGGAGGCTGGAAGTCTAAAATCTGGCAGGGCTGCCTTCTCTCTGTGGGGCTCTAGGGGGAGAATCCATTCCTTGCTTCTTCCAACTTCTGCTAGCTTTCCCAGCATTCCTGGGTTTGGACCACATTCCTACAGTCCCTACCTCCATTTTGATACCACCTTCTCTTCTGTGCATCTCTCCAAACTCTCTGTGCCCTTTCTCAGAAACACTTGTATCATTTAGGCTCCCCTGGATAATACAGGGTAAACTCAAAATCTTTAATTCGTCTGCAAAGACCTTGTTTTCCAGATAAAATAAATTCCAGGGATTAACAAATTCCAGGGATTAGGATTTGATCTCTTTGGGTGGCCATTATTCAAGCTGCAAGTCCTTGGTTTTAGAAACATGGTAGCCTTTGGAGATCTCTGTAAGAGCAGTTTCTTTGGAGCAGTGGGACATAAGAGAATCCTATTTACCTTTCATGTTTGCTGTCACATAGAGAACTCTATTGTCTGTTTCAAGACTGCAAGACTCCTTTCTATGGGCAATCAGTAGTTGTATGCCTGTGGTTAGCTTCAAGTTTTACATGTTGAAAATGAGAAAGGAGAGAAGGTCTCAGAAGCGTCTGCCAGTTCTTTCAAGTTGTGAGTTACTGAACTGTGTGATCCAAGTTGGCATTACCAGTGGCCATTATTTCTCTAGCCAAAAGCTGGCTTCTTTTAGATTTCATACATCTCTGTTTTGATTAATAATATCAGTAGCTGTATTATTTCTTTCATAACCTGATTGATAAGCACATTGCTGTGAAATTCCTATTCAGAAAGAGGAGTGGGTGTCAGTAAGATTTAGGCATAGTGGGTATTTTAAATAAATTATCTGAAGGGAGAAAAGGGGATGCAGAGAAAAAGGCTATTTTGCCATTTTTTTTCTTACCAGCTTTGTGAAACACAGATGGTAAAACTGCACACTTGGTGCCGAGCTGCCCTCATTGGTTCTCTGCACGCTTCGCATAATTCCTGCTGGACAATGGGAAGCATCAGAAGTGATCACAAGTTACCTCTTGCTCTGTGTGCTACTGCATGGACAAAAGATAGGGACCACATCTGGAAGAGGCTTGCTTTCCTGGGGGGGAGGATTTCTAGTAACAAAGAAATTCCTTCATCCTCAGTTCTCTTTCAGTTGGAACTGAAATAACTGGCAGCCTACAGTTGCTTCCCTGTGTGTATATATATTTGGAGGGGAGGGCAGGTATTGGGCTTCCTCCTGATGAAAGGCTGTGCTTTCCCAGGGAGCTTACTTGATTACCGTACATTAAATCTGTACTTGTGGGACCATTTTCCTAAATTACCAGAGTGCTGACTCAGGGTTTATGTGTACCCTTCAGCTTTTGTATTGGGGGCAGAGGCCCTAGTATGGCATGGTGAAAAGAACACAGGTTTTGGAGTTAGCGACCAGGTTCATCCACTTACTTGCTATGTAATCTTTGGCAAATTATATACACTCTGGAAGCTTTCCTCATTTGGTAAAATGGGGTTGAAGGCATCTGGTATGCTTACCACATACTAGCCATGTAATAAAAGTTAGATTCCACAATTATAATAACATCTTTTTGTCTCTTTATTAATTTTTATTCATTTATTGATACTCAGAATTTCCTTACTGCCTTTGATGTCTTTGTATTAAGCAGAATCCTTAAAGAGATTCACCTGTTAACGTAGCATCTCTTTTGGGGAAAGAGAAGCAATGGGCCCCCACCTCCTACCCCCCTCCCCAATTTTGTCACTATGATAATTACTTGCCTTTAGGTCTTGGGTTCCAGTACATTGGAAAACAACCATAGCCGTCAGGGAATACTCCTGAGGGAGGATTTCATTAATTGTAGAATTTACTAGGGAGAGCAGAAGAAAGTTGGCTTGTTCTATATAGGAGCACCTCTGGGCAAAGACAAGGAGGGGAGTTGCTGAGGAATGAGGCTGTAAATAGGTCAGCTTATCCAACATAGAGTATTCTAGGAGGTTTGGGGAAGAAAGCCATAGGAATGAGTCCACTTGGGAGAGGATCAGGAACGGAAGCAGCAATGAGAAGAACTTAATAGAAAAGTTACTGATGGCCCACCATGTTGTGCCTGGGCTGCTTTGTAGTGCAAGGTGCTGTGTTATGCTGTGAACAAAGGATGGCCTTTGACTACTGGGTATTTACCCCTAAGATACAAATGTAGTGATCCGAAGGGGCACGTGCACCCCAATGTTTATAGCAGCAATGTCCACAATAGCCAAACCATGGAAAGAGCCATGATGTCCGTCAACAGATGAATGGATAAAGAAGATGTGGTGTGTGTACAGACAGACAGACAGACAGACAGACACACACACACACACACACACACTTGAATATTATGCAGCCATCAAAAAGAATGAAATCTTGCCATTTGCAACAACATGGATGGAGCTAGAGGGTGTTATGCTAAGTGAAATAAGTCAGTCAGAGAAAGACAAATATCATATGATCTCACTGATATGAGGAATTTGAGAAATAAGACAGAGGATCATAGGGGAAGGGAGGGAAAAATGAAACTAGGTGAAAACAGAGAGGGAGACAAACCATAAGAGACTCTTAATCTCAGGAAACAAACAGGGTTGCTGGAGTGGAGGGGGGTGGGAGGGGACGGGATGGCTGGGTGATGGACATTGGGGAGGGTATGTAATATGGTGAGCACTGTGAATTATGTAAGACTGATGAATCACCGACCTGTACCCCTGAAACAAATAATACATTATATGTTAATAATAATAATAATAAAAAAAGGATGGTCTTTGGCCAGGGTCATGCATTTCCTCTGCAGTTCCCCAGCTCTGTGACCTTGGGCGAACTGCTTGCCTGTCAAATGTAGATAAGACTGTCCTTGATTTCCTAAGATCCCTCAATTTAATAACACCTAGGAGGAGGTGGTAGGAACATTTCCTCATTAATTTAGTCATCATTTGTAACCAGTCATATGATGTTACCTGGTTGTAGAAATTTTAATGTGGTTTTTTTATTAAGTGCATTTTAGAAGCAAAACAATATGGTAATACCCATCTCACGGATGATGGAAAGATTAATAAGATAATGTATGTTAAGTGCCCATCAAAGTTAGTATTCAGTGAATTGTAGCTATTATTAACAGATGAAAAGACATGAAAAATAATTTGATTGGGAACCTCTGAAGAACGAATTTTAAACAACAGGGTCATGATGTGACCAGGATCTGAAAATAGGACTAGAATGAAGGGAAAGAAGATGAGATAAAAATTCAAATAATGTTATGGAGATACATGAGTGTGTATCTGAGCAGAAAGTTTTACTCCTTTACAGACAAAATTTTCGTTGTCTGTAGTGATTGCGGTATATGTTCCAGTGTGAACAGAGGGAATGTGGTAATCTTGTGGGACAGAATGACTCCTGTGTCATCTTCTGGGCATGTTAGAGTAATTCTGAACTTGCTGCTACATTATTTCTGAATTTTGCTAATCACAAAAAGTAAAGCATTTGTTAACACACTGATAACAAAGTGTGTGTTTGTTTTTGTTGTTTTGTTTTCATTTCCTTGTGGGAGAGGGTGGCTGATTAGGGACTTAGCACTAGGTAATAATTAGTTCAGTTGCCTGGCCAGGAGACTCTTACTTACATTTCAAACATCTTTATGTTTTCATTAGAGTAATACTGAATTTTTAGCTCTTCTTTCTTTTTTTTCTTTTTTTTTTGCCCCAGGTCCAGCAAGACTATGAACCTCTGTTCCAAATGCTTTGCTGGTAAGTGCAGAAAAGGGTTTTTTATTTATTTTATTTTTTCTTCTTCTGATTGTTTTTAAGACGATCTAAATTATTTGGCCTTCCTTTGTGTTTATGCATGGGGTTTTGTTTTCTTTGCTTGTGTGTGAAAGTAGTTTCTCCTTACCAAGATGCTTCATATATTTGCCTAGGACTATTGAAACAGCCTTCCCTGAGTGAAATGAAATCGTCTGTGTACTTGCACCCAACAGACTTTACATAGCGTACAGTTGTGGGCATATAGTGGAACTGTAAAAACTTGTGTTGTAATAGGTAATAACATGTTTATGTCTGAACTTGACTTGAAATATTAGTAGTGAATATTGTTTTTACCAGTGAGAATACAAGAGAAAGGATATCTTCATGTAGGAGTCAGGAAGAGAATCATGTTGAATTAGCCCTAGAATCCAGTCCCTTATTGAAATCACCTTGGGTAAATCACTTAATCTCTTTGGACCTTAGAGTCATCATTTATAACATGAAGTGCTTGGGCTTGATGTTTGCCAAGGGCCTTTTCCAGCCCCCAACTGCTGATTGGTTGACTCCTTAAATTATGACTCCTTCATGAACTTAAACCTTCATTTTTTAAAAAGAATTTTATGTCTAATGATTTCATATAAAATAACTGAGTCTTTACTGAGATATGTTTAACCTTCCTTTTCTATTCATTTTGTCAAGAATAAAGCTGGACACTACTTGAAGTGCTAAGGACAGATTTTAATCAGGAATATATAGCAATAGGGAAGAGTTCAGTTTGAACTGAACACAACTTCAGTTTGTGCAGAGGTAACTGGGTATTTTAAATGGAGAATGAGGGAGTAGGGAGGGATGCTAGCTTGGCTCAGTAGAGTCAGGGAAGTAAAAAAATTATAAAGGGCTTCTCAGTGTAAATGATGAATAGGTTGGTTTTGTCTACTAGCTGACTGTCCTGCCAGTTAGGATTCTGTCTTTCTTTCTTTCTTTCTTTCTTTTTTTTTTTTTTAATTCTTATGTTAATCCCCATACATTACATCATTAGTTTTAGATGAAGTGTTCCATGATACATTGTTTGTGCATAACACTCAGTGCTCCATGCAGAATGTGCCCTCCTCAATACCCACCACCAGGCTAACCCATCCTCCCACCCCCCTCCCCTCTAGAACCCTGTTTGTTTTTCAGAGTCCATCGTCTCTCATGGTTCGTCTACCCCTCCGATTTCCCCCCCTTCATTCTAGGATTCTTTCTACTGAGACTGAGCCTGAGGCCCTACCATTCCTGATGGTGACCTTTTAAAATAATGGCTTTCATGTCCTTGAAATAGGGACTCCTGAGATGTAAGAGATGCATATGCATCTCAAAGGGACAGAGGAAGGATTCACAGTTGCAAATCCTTTTTAGTAAATGGCCTAAGGAGGGGGTGGTCGGAGGCCTTGCAGACCGGTGTTACAGCTAGAAAAACCTTATATTCTTTTGGCAGCCTTGAGCTTTCTCAGGCAGGCACTTTAAGAGGGGCTAAGGTCATCCTAGGGATGGGGCCTTGAGTTGTTAGAAAATGTGTTAGTGTTTGTTTAAATATTTTAATGATTGGGGAAGGGGTAGAAGAAACCATCTGTGTTAAGAGTCTGTAGTTTTTATAGGTCAAGGTTGAGTCCTAGTTGAGAAGAGGGCTCAGAAGAGCCTAGCTAGAGATTGGTCAAGGAGAGAATCTTTGTCAGATTTCACTATTCATTATGCTATTTGGGCAAGAAAATAATCATATTTAGGCTTTAGTCCTTTACATTTTTGCCTAATCTAGGGAATAGGTGGGAGGGAGTTGGGGAAGGTGGCAGTTTGTATCTGTTAAAGTTTGGAATTTGTCAAATACTTTAGGTCTTTAAAAGGAAAAAAAATATTGGTAAGTTTGGTTTTTATCCAACTTTTTAACAGTATGTCTGCCATTAAATGAATGTATTCTGCTGTTTTACTCTGTATGTCTACAATTACAGATATGAAGAAATGCTTCCTTACTGGTGAGAGTTTAAGTTTTATAGTAAAGATGAAAGCAGTGAGACAAAATGTATATTAGATTGATGACTGTCTCCGTATGGAGCTAGTTTCCCCTTATAATTCAGTAAAGTGTGGCTGTGGGAGAAGGCCAGGCACCTTTGAGTTAAGGGGCTCACATCAACTGCTCAAAAGAACCATCTCGTGTCACTAATAAATATAAAATTTAAAAAATGACCAATGAAGACAGTTTAGCTGTGGTCTTTGTATTTCTTTGTACTTGCTGTAGTTTGATTTTTTTATAGTAATAATTATTTATTGTTTCTCTGGTGATCTGTGTCCATTTACTCTTTATACAGCTTTGTCATTTTTGCTTTTTGCTTTCAAAAATATTAAGAGAGTATTTTCAAGTGTGTAAAGAAGATACTCCCTTTTCCCCTATTTATCTTCATCCCCATATTCTTAATTTCCTCAACATCATTTGAAAGGAATGACTAGTAACATTTGCTTGTGGAAGTAACATCTGGGGTTCTTTTTGCAATACACAAGAAAAGTCATTGAACTCTACAGATATATTTGTGGGTTTTGTTCCTGTATGGAAATAAGAGTATAGAAATACACTGTTGCAGCATTAGGTATGAGATGTATAGGACAACATGAATATTATTTTGGCCAAAACCACTGTGATTTTAAATACTCTTTTAAAGTATACTATAAAGTATACAATGTGCTTTTAAAAGATGGAAAAATCACTTTAGAAACAGCTGCTGTGTCCTATTAGGTTAGGTATTTTTCAAGATTGCTTTTCAGAATAAATCTACGTGGTGAAAAAGTGAGTTTGTTGTAACTTGTTTACATAAAATTGAAATGAGTAAAGACGTGTTTAAAATCTTGTTGGGATAGTAGAGTACTAGGTGACGAACTGTGGGTGCTAGTTTATAGCTAACTTTGATAACTGTTTGCCTCTGATGAAATATTCTGTCAAATGGTAAGCATATGCCCCAGTAACTCCTATCACTGCAGATTATTTTCCCTTTTCTTTATAAAAGATTCCTGGGCTGTTTGAAGTTAGAGAAAGGAAATGAGTAAATGGGCACTGAAAGTTACTAAAAAACCACTGAATTGTTAATTGTGCCAGTAAATTGTATACCAAATAATAGTGTTTCTCCATATTTTTGTCTGTATCAACCATTTGCATGAATGTAGAATACCAGCCTGGCTGGATTTGCTGTTCCTAACAGCTTGCAGCTTAACCAACTTTCCTCTCTTTGAAATGGGAGGATATTTTCATTTTTATTTTTTGGCATCTTGAATCCTGGTTTGGCCTGGCTGAAATAATTTTAGGCCATTTGGAAGTATGTCTCTCCCTCCCCCACCACCCCCCATGTGCAATATGCTACTTGCTTAACCTTTAAGTGCCTTTGACCTGAAGACCCTTATCATCCAAGATTTTCTTGTGCCAGAATCACAAGGATATTTAAAGGAAGTATTCTCATATGTGGAATTTAAGAAACAAAACAGAGAATCAAGGGGAAGAGAGGAAAAAATAAAACAAGAAGAAATCACAGAGAGAGCCAAACCATAAGAGACTCTTAATCAGAGGAAACAAACTGAGGGTTGCTGGAGGGGAGTTGGGTGGGGGGATGGGGTAACTGGGTGATGGACATTAAGGAGGGCATGTGATATAATGAGCACTTGGTATTATACAAGGGTGATGAATCACTGACCTCTATCTCTGAAACTGATAATACATTATGTGTTAATTAATTGAATTTAAATTAAAAAAAAGTAAAAAACAATAAATAAATCAACTATTCTGGGGAGTCACCAAAAAATGATTCACACTAATGTTATGATTTGAGGTACAGTGGATTGAAAGTGCTCTTCTGGATTCTCTTTATCTGAGGTTATTATGTGGTCTTAAAAAAAAAAACCAGGAAAAGTTATTTTTATTACAGTATATATTTTTTGCATTCCCATAAATGTTTGCTGTTTTTCTACTTAATTGTCAACCCCCCTTTTACATGTTTAGTATTTTCTTTCCTTAAATCACAATTCTGTGTTTTTTCTTGGAAACATGTTCTCTTAAAGACTAAGACTATCTGTGAGCAGAAGCAAGAAACACCTGCAGTTTGGATAAGGAATTCTCCCACCTTTGAGTTGATATATTATCATTCCCAGTTGAGAGTGTTAACTATTTTTATATTACCTCTAAAGAAAGGATAAGATTTGCAATTTATTTGAAGTTACAGAAAGAATGTCTAAACTATTGAAAAGGATGATATTTAAGCATCCTTGAACATAAAGTCATCAATTCATCTTGCTACAGATCTTTCTAATTTTTAAAGCTATTTGAGCATCTTTTTTGGTCCACTGTTAGCTTTTCTACCCCCTTGATAATATTCTAAAATAATATTCTTTCATGCTGTCTTTTTCTTTTATTAAATATTTTTACATTGTATAGCTTTCCTAAAAGAATCAGTAAGTGTCTATAATAGAAAGCCACAAAATTTCATGACATGGTATTTATAGTTATGGTGAATAAACACTTATTTTTTTGGGCATCTTTTTAAAAGAGATTTATTTTTTTATAAATAAGAACGCGCATGCACGAGAGTGCGTGAATGTGGGGAGGGGGCAGAGGGAGAGAGAGAGAATCCTAAAGCAGGCTTCCCACTGAGTGTAGAGCTCAACATGAGGCTCTGTCTCACGACCCAAGAGATCATAACCTGAGCCTAAACCAAGAGTCAGATGCTCAATGGACTGAGCCACCCAGGCGCCCCTGAACCAGTACTTTTTAGTGTAGTTTTCAAATTGGGTGTAGTGGTTCATTAGTGGTTAGAGAAATCAGCGTAATGGGTCACGATTGCATTTGATTAATTAAGATTTATTTATTTATTTTAGTGGGGAGGGGCAGAGCGAGAGAATCTTTAAGTAGACTCCCCACTGAGTACACTGAGTACAGAGTCTGACATGGGGCTCGATCTCATGACTCGTGAGATCATGACCTGAGCTGAAAC